TTAATTTAATTATTTCTAAAGCATTACCTTTGCAGTTATGATACCACGAACCGTGATTCCGATCATAGGACCAAATCGGATTTCTACCCCTGATTCTATCACGAGTTCGCCCTCACGTTCCACGAACAAATCTTCTCGCACCAGATAAGGACTCTTTGATCTTTCCAATAATCGTTGACCCTGAACAATGTGGCCACCGTGTAATTCCGTAACATCGTTATTGGAACTGATATTGATGAAAATCGGTTCAGTGTAATAAATTGACGTTTGATCAAATCCTTCTTCTGACTGTCCATAAACAGTCAAAAAAGTTAGTAAGAAACACAAAATACGCATTTTTGTCGACACTTTCATTAGATTTTCTTTTTTAATATAATAATTATTATTAGATAAATTTTAAAAAATCACTTGAATGATTCATCACTTTAAAAAAATAGAGTCATTTTAAAAAATAAAATTCTTCGCACAATATTAATCACTAATTTTTATTAAGAATAATAACAGGTTTTGATTTTTTACATTGTTTCTTATTTCGTTTAAAAGTTTCATTAGATTGTGGTGACACTTGTTGCAACATTTTGATAATTCTACATACACTATTTTTTAAAAAGATAATAATATTTATTTAAAATAAAATAGTTCATCAAAAATATTAAATATTTTGATTGTTATGATTTTCTTTTTATGAATTTTGTTATTTATTGTGACACTACAATACATCGATAAACGATTTGTTAATCAAATCTATATTTTCACTAAATGTATCATTGCAACGATGTATCAATATTACATTTATTAATATTTACGTTTATCAATATAATATTTTTAATGTTTATAGAGAAACAATAATATTTGGATAAATTTTTAATTTCAGAAAATTTAAAAAATTAATCAATATTTTATTAATCACATTTAAATAATTTTTTTAGTTATATAGAATATTTTTATTATCATTTCATTGAAAATTTCTTTTGATTAATTTAAATCATAATTTTTTCTCAACATAGTCAGTTTAGATCTTATAAATCACGACCAAAATTGATTCTTCACGCGGCAATACTGGAACTTTTACACAAATGCAGAGCTATATTGTATTTTAAATTCGAGCGTTAACCTTTCTCTCGTGTTTCTTCACGCGCGAGAGATTGCAGCTCGACTGTGGCGACTCGGTTACACCGCTGTTGTTAGTCTCCCGTCATGAAAGTTTTTACCAATCACAATCTAAAAGACGCCGTTTATTTTTTTGCATCATAATAATATAATAAAAAAATCTATTCACTATTTTTCATATATTTATTTATATATTACAGTTTATATCAAAATTCCTCCAAGATTATATTTCAATGCAATAAATATTTAAAATTAAACTTAAAGTAATAACCATTCAATAATATCAAAAGATTTTATATAATTTATAATATTAGTAACGAACAAATAAATATAAATTGCAATTTATAGCGTAATAGTCACCTGGCGTCATATTGGGCGCGGTTTAACTGCTTTTCAATTCGTTATATTCTTGTAGTCTCTTCAGTAATCGTGTCTTACCTCGCGTCGTTCTCCAGGCCCACTGTTCCATAAGGAACTATAGTATTGTTACTACCACCTACTAATGCTGAAAGGTAAAGGTTGTCACGTGACATAGTTGAATATAATACGTCACGCAGGTTGTGAAACAGGTGAGTTCCTCTTGAAGCTCAGAACCTGTTTTTATTTTAATCCTTTATAACTTTTAAGAATTTTGAATTCATCATATCAATTATATTATTTTCTAAATTTTAAATTAAATAAAATTAGACATATTAAAATAAATTTATAAAAAAAAACTATTTTATAAATATTTTATATTTTTATTTTATCTAAATATTTAAAATACTAATTTATATATAGGCATTTTAAATAATTAAATTATTTATATATATATATTAAATTATATATATTTATATTATATTATATATATATGATTCTTATAATATTGATTATAATGCTTTTTCAAACAATTTTTAATTTGTAAACTTCATAAAATATTTCAAAAATATAATTATTAAACATAATTTTAAAACTTTATTCAAATTAAAACAATTTATATTTTAAACGCGTTTTATATTAATATTAATAAACTGTATATTAATAATGATTAATATTTTTAAAACATAAAAAAATAGATAAAAAAGAAAAAAAGATAAAATTTTTACTATTTCTTCAGAAAAATGATTTCGAAAAATATAATAGTTGACAATAATGGCGCTACTTAATGATAACAAATGTCGTTCAAATTAGAAATAAGATATTTTCATAATCAATCATGCAAAAAATTAATATGATTATAATTTAGATATATAATTTATAATTAAGAATTATATTCAATTTAGATTTATTATTTAATTAATTACAATTAGATATTAGATATTAATTATATACAATTAATTGTTGTTTACTTACATAAAAAAATAATAAAATTAATCAAATATCGGAACTTTTTTGAAGGCATAAATTTCGCAAAATATAAACAAGAAAGTATAATAAGAAAAGGACAGAGATAGAGTAAAAAATTAAGAAATATGTGCTATATATGTAATGCTATAGATGAAATAAATATAAAAAGAAAACAAAATAGAATAAAAATTGATCATCAGAGCCATCTTTTGAATGTTTTTAGAATACTTTTGACATTCGAAAAATGGCATTGTTAATCAATTCCCATTTTACCAATTTTTTAAGAATATCTTTAGCATTCAAAAATAGCTCTGATAGTCAATTCTTATTCATTTTTATTCTTGTCCTATTTATTCTTCTTTTTTATATTTGTTTTATCTGTAATATTTTAAAAATGGCATTAATTTCTTAATTTTTATTCTTTTCTCACTATTTATTTTATTTATATTTGTTTTGTAAAATTTATATGTTTTTATTGTTGTATTATATTTTTTTTTATAATAAAATTTTATTAATATGTTTTATTTATTTTATTATTTTTATTTTTTATGAAATTTTATTTTATGAAAAAATTTTCATAAAATTATTGTCTATATTGCATAAATATTAACACTTATAATTATATATTAGCTATAATTATATATATAAATAAATTTAGATATATAATATATATCTAATAAAATTTAGATATTATATATCCATTAGATTATATATCCAAAT